TGGCTGCTCAGGGTATATTGACTGCCTGACTTACTGATGTTCATAGTGGAGCAGCAGGGGCAGGCTCGTAGAGGTGCTGTGGTTCAATCTCTTCAATACAAAAGGAAAATTAAGAAAGGACTTTATCACAAAGCAAGCAACTGAACTGAAGAAATCCTGTGCTCAGTTTGTGGAAACACTCTAATCAACACAAGCTTCAAGGTTTCTTCTCACACATTGTTTAAAATTTGACTAACGAAAAATAAACCGTATAGTATAAAAGATCATGCCTGAAGCATAAGCACATTATTCTGTAACAGTAGTTGTTGAAGTTCCATCGTCACTCATGCTTCACATCTCCTGCATACTGGAAGCCACTGGTCAGTGTCTGGTGGATCAGAGGGCAAACATTGTTGGAATATGAGGCTCCAGAGCATGAGAGAGGCCAGAGGCCAGGACTTACACATGGGTGAGATCCAGGCTTTGCTGCAGGGGTTGTGAACATATTGCTCAGGGTGTGACACTTGGCAAACTGGACTGTGCTAACACTTTAGCAGAGATTAGTGTCCTGGAAGGGCTTCTGTGGCAGTTTAATGACTTCCAACAAGGCAGTGAAAGTTGGGTTCCTAATATTCTTCTGATAAATGCTTTATTAGTCTGATTTACTGTAGTAGTACTAGAAGTTGAAAAAAACAGTGGATCCCAACAGCATTCAGGGCTTACACAGCTTAGTAGTAACCTTTTAGCTCTATGAGACTAGAGTTGTCACATATAAGGCAGGTTCAACTGCTGTCAGTATTGCTTCTATGATGCTGTAGGCAATTATACAGTGTGAGGGAGGTGAGAGGCGGAACACAGACCAAGAGACCATCAGACAGTCAATTGTCTGTTGAAGTGGGGGAGAAGGGATAGGGCTGGGAGAATGCATTTCAGAAACAGATCAGGAGTAACCAAGAAAAACAGCTGAGAAGGCATCTGGGTGATGTCAGAATGGCAGAACCTAGACAGCAACAATTTTCTCTGACTTAGTAATAGATGCACACATGTTAGTGAAGGATAACTCTGACAACACAAAATAATAGAATTCTGGCTTTGTCTCCAGCCGGTGTAAATCTTTGTGGCCCCTTTTGCCCAACTACTTGTGTGAAAAATGTCTCATGGGGAGTCCTACTTTGAGCCCAGTGCTTGCTGAGATCAAATACTTCCCTCAGAGGATGTCACAGGTGGCCTCTGCCTCCCTGCCTAATGTCTGCAAAGCCTTGAATGGCTGAAAAGTCTGCTTTATTTCTACAGTCAACTGTCTTGAAAGACCTGGAAAGTGATGGTATCCAAATGCCATGCAACAGAACAGAGCATTTTAAGGTAGAATATCATTGTTCACATACTGATGAATTGCCCATGCAACACAGACATGGAAAAAGCCATATAAACTTTTCAAACTAAATAATTCCTTCATGCTCAGAGCCTAAGAAGCTTCATGTTCCAGCCTTTGGTGATTGTCCTTCAATTGCCTGCTCAATTTAAGTATCTTCCTTTCTCAGAAATCTTCCCTCTGTGAGCTTTGGCAAGTTTCCTGTTTACCTTAATTTAGCTAATGCACAAGATATCCAAGGCTGATTACAGAACTGTCAGTCAGATGGCAGGACTTGACTGATTCTTTCACTATCCATTACAGTTTCCTTCTGCTGTAGGTGTCCCCTGCCCAAGGAAGCACTGTGTGTGAATATGCAAAGAGGGCCAAGCTCTAGATGAGTTGGTTGAGTCCCTCATAGCTGTCTGCTTGCAAAAGCAGTAAGTAGCAGAGTGGACATAAAATTAAATGCTGCTGAGATCCCACTCAGCTGTTTCAGGGCAGGTATCACAAGCAAATGTATAGGTAGACCTGAGCAGGAAGCCAGTGAGAAGTGGCTCAGATCCCCACAGTGCTTCCAGAGCAGCAAAGGTTGAAAAGTGCCCCTAGAGCAAACTCACTTGGCTGGTGGTAGTTAGCAAAGAGTTGACAGACTGTGAACTTGTCCGCTGGATACAGGGGTTTCTCAGCAGATGATCAGAACATGAGTATCTCATGATGCAAAAGGTGTTTGTGACAGAGCTGTTTGTAACTGTCCCATTGCAGATTAATCCATTGCATTGTCTAATCCTTACAAACAACTCAGATACAGCTCTCCAACAAAGGAGAGGAGGAGATCAGCCATTCAAACCTGAGCCTGACTCCAAATGGATCTGTCATTGGGATTGCTAACAGCACCAGGTAGCATAGGCAATGCTGCAAATGGGTCCTCTAATTATTGGGTTTTTTTCACTGTCAATACCATGCAGCTTTTACAACATCAAGTTCCAGTTAAGAAGTGCTTCTATGCCCTAGATACCTTTTTGGTGTGCAGATTTTGTACATCCCTGCATGCTGCTTGCCCTCTTTTTCCGAGCCACCTTACCTGAAGAAAAGAAACCAGAGATTTTTTTCCTGAGTGAATATATGCTTGGGGGTAAAAGCACATGTGAAAGGACTAAATCAGCCTCTTCTTCCACACCTAGAGGGCAAAATAAAAATGAAAGCCTGTCAATATATGCTTTCTGTTTGAGCCTGGCATTTTGATGCTTCTTTTGGCCAGTTCATGTTAGATTAAATTAGGTACCTTCCCAAGCAGCAATGATTCACAACTTTTTGCTCTGCTTCCAGCTGGCACCCTTGTGCTGAGGCACTACGTCAGCTGGTCTCTCTGCATTCTCCATCTGGATGCCTCATCAGCTGCTTGTCATGGCTCAGTTTGAACTTTGCCTTCCTCTTCAGCTTTTCCTAAAGGCAGCACCCACTCCAGCAGGGTCTCAGCAGCACAATCCCTCCTGGCTTCTGCTCCCTGGATGACTGGCATTGCCTCCAAATTCAGCCTGCTTCCCCAGTCCCTTGGTCCCCATAACAAAGGAGTTCTTTCCCTCAAGTGTGGAAGCAAGGGTCATCTTTGCCAGCTGGCCTTGCACTGCTCTCCTCTCTGGAGGGGAAGCAATCATTACCCTCACCTCTAAAGACCTTTCAGTCTGCACACATGCATGTGCTGAACTGTTAACTTCTCCCACCTGTTTTCCTGGCCTGTTACCTTTTTGGAAAGAGCAAAAAGTTTGAAAATGTCAAAACATTGTAGGTTGGGGTGAATTTGTTTTCAAATTGTATTTGTCTTACCATATGTCATCCTGTAGAAGCACTGGACTTTGACGGGAGTGCATATGCCATGACTACAGCCAGACACAGGCATCCTGTGATGCCACATGGCTGTGTAATTCTGTTAGCCACAACGCACCACAGGCATATCAATTCAAGAAGAAACTATGAACTTCATTTGGTAAGGTGAGGAACTGCAAGTCTATGGACCTGGATTGTTAACATCATTCTAATAAACATTGCAACTTGGGAAAATTTGGCATAAAGCAGAATTTTTTTGTGGTTTTTACTTTTTTCCTGGGAAAATATTTGCAAAATGCAAATTTAAAAGACAAATCACCTTGTTGGAACCCACTTTTTCATCTTTAAATTACTTGCAAGGATAATTTATATCTAACTTCAGCTTAGAGATGCCTCATACACATGCATTGTCGTCTACCCTTACATTGTTGCTTTTGAGAGGGCAAAATTACTTCTAGACTTCCAAACACTCATAGGTTTGTTTCTTTTGCTTTCTCATCTCTCTGCAGAAGGCTCCCTCTCCCTAATGAGCTCTGGAGTAAGGCTGGTGCCTGTAATCTTTAAAGATTTACTTTTCATCCCTCAAACCTTGTCATGGGCAGCCACTTCAGGGATCCACATGGATCCACTCTAGGGATCTTCTTTATGCAGTCAATTCCTAAGTCTTTTTTTAATTCCTAAGTCTTTTTCTTCCAGACAGTCCTCTTCCTTTCTATCCATACTTCAACAATTTCTATAAATGACAAACTACTTTCTAATTTTGCAGTACAGCTTGGCCTCTGTATTTTGTAGTATGAAGGGCATCCATTTTTCATTTTCTGTCTTTTTTTTTCTCTCTCTACACTTATACAACAATGTAAGTGCCTGAAAATGCAGCAGCATTTCTGTTTTGATCAAATCATTCATCCAGTCACTCGGACTTGTTCATGCTGGGTTGAGCACACATAAAGGAGATTCCCTGTCCGAGCTGCTTTCTGGGAGGCTGGATGGCACCAAGTAACCTGTGGTGCCTTCCACCCCACTGCAGCTAAACAGGACCCTCAGTTTCTCAGATCCTTTTCCTATAAATTCTTTTCAGGCATTCCTGTGGCAAGGCCATGTGTACTGAACACCTGAGGAGGGAACATGCATCAACCCCTAAAGGATCATGAGATCAGGTTTTTTTAACTTCTGTGATTAAGAATAACACTGTGTTGCAGAGAACTTGGCCTGTAACAGCACCTGGTGGGTTGTTTTCTTCATTCTGCTCCTCCATTTTCACTCTATAATTACTTGCACGGGAGACTGCATGCACAAGGAAAAAAAAAAGTTAGAAGAATTGATGTTGTAAGCTGACTGGACTGTCAGTAAAGAACTTAGCATGTTTAGTGCCTCCTGTCAGATGGCAATAATAAGTCTACTTGCCTTGGATTTATTTGCTGAGAATACTGTCAAGTAATTCTATCACTTGATGCTGTGCTTATTTCAAGGTTCATATGGCTTCTGTAAATGTTAAAACCATGTAACATCCATTTCTATCACCTGAAGAATCAGTCCTCAGCTAAGAAACTGAAACTGTTTCACCTCTGGGTATTGTGACAGACTCACTCAGGTGATCATAGGGCAATAGCTAAAGCAGCTGCTTCAGCACGATGAGAATTCTTAACCCTTGGGTGAGGGGCTGAGTGAATGCTCTCCCTGCTCCATGATGGCTGTCCTGTGTCTTGCCTTCCTTCTCTCCTGCACTCTTACACATTCCCGAGGCAGAGGTGCGGGTGACTGGGAATGTGAAGTCACCTGATCGGATGCTGCCCGACTCCCTTCGCTCTGCACGGCATAAGCTCTCCTTGCCTGGTGGTACTGAAAGCAACTCTGCAAGGCTTTGCTCTGCTCAGCAGGCTGCTGAGTTTGCTGCAGATGCAAACCAGAAATCCAACCTTCTACTTGCCTACGTACCACCACAGGGTTATATGTCTTCTTGCCTCTTGCTCCTTCCCCCAAACCTCTGTTCTCAAAAGGAAGCTTTGTTCTGCTGCTAGCAATGCATCCTGAGACGCGGCTGTGTTGGTGTTGCCCTGCTTTCTGTGTGTGGGCATTCGTGCTCACATCCTTGATTAAAGGTAGGCTCTCTTTGATACCAGTTTCTAGAATATTTTCTAGTTGCTGTCTCTGCTTCTGTTTTCTTGAATTAATTCAATGTAAAGATTCCACCAGCTATTTCTAACCTGAAATCTGTAACATTTTAACAGTATTTGAAAAGAGCTATAACAATACTAATTTTCCAATATAACATTCTTCAATTTTTGTTTCATAATTAATGGGAAAACTGTTTCTAGAAAATAATGGAAATGGATTAGGGCTCCTAGTAATTTAATTTGGTGCTTGAATTTGTAAGTGCTTAAATAACGCAGGCTATGAATGTGCATGGTCAGTGCTCACACTTTCAAAACTAAGAACTTTATTGTTGTTCACTGTTGTTTGTAGATATGCTGCAGTCATTTCTGTTCACAACTCTCACAGAGTTCAGCAGGATTTTTTGCTTTTAGGACACATTTGTTTTGAAAGTCTCACTTCTGCAGGTGACCAAGGTGTGCATGAAATATATTGCTTGTCTTAGCAAGGCATAAGAAACTCTTTTAAAGCCACACCATGGGATAGAACTTAAATACTTGTCTGGTTTTCTTACTTTATTTTGAAGCATGTGTCTATTAAGAAGCTAGTGGGAAAATTTCAAATGAAACATGATTTTAGATGCATTACCTTTACTGTAGGAACTTCATGTTCCTACAGTAGTGTACTTCTAATCACAGTGCCATGGGTGGTGATGATGAAATCAGAAAAGAAAAATTTTAGCTCTTTTTGAATGAAACAATAAATTATATAAAAGAATCCAAACTTCATGACACACACATTCATGTGTCTTCTCTGAATGATGTGGAAAGAATGAGATAAAACATCAAATTTTTTAATTTTTACTAGAATTTTCTTTCCATACATATAAGTGACCAGTAGCCAGCATTTCATCTTGCAGTCACAATAATCCCCTGCAATTTCAGGATGCTTCATATCACCTTAGAGGTGAAATCTCTTTTTCAAAAACAGGGGAAGGACCGTCTAATCATGAAAGTGCAGCATACTGAGACCAGGTGTCTCCCTGCAGGACATCTGCACATACACAGGCCCTTGTGTTCACTGAAGGATATGTAAATTGCAAATTTATGTGCCAGAGACCATGCTGCCTGGCACAAACCCCTTCTGTGTTTAAGATTTGCAATCATAAAGGCTTATCATGTTTACCTGTCTGATGTGTTCTAGTGCAATCTGGGACGAATGCAAAAAACTTATGACAATGAGTCTGAAAACAAATTTTTCCTCAGTTGTGTCAGTAATATCTTTGGGATCATTATATAGCTTTGATAACACAGCATGAGACAGAAATTCTAAATCTTGAGCCTATAAAGTGTTTTTATTTTAGGTGCTTTTTATTTTAGTAATGTATTGTGATAGCAAAGTTATTCAAGAAAAGTGTTCTTTTGAGCTGTTGTTCCAGTGCCAATAAAATTTAATATTTTCCTTTTGAAATCAAAGTGTATAGCCTTTAATACTGTGAAAATAATGGTTTCAGGTTTGGACTGTGTATAACAGGTTAGGAGCATTGATCTTAACTCTGCAGTGAATCACCTTAGTGCCTGTCACATACCTTGTTTCTTCTAAGTCATCTGGTCTGTTCTTCATTAATGAGGGGTTACAGCCGTGATCCGCTTGCTCCCAAAGAACAGTTCTGTATTACACAGATGCATGCTATTCCATAAGAAATATTAATATTTCCACTTTATTGATTCTTGTTCATAAAACTTTCTGCAAAGAAAAATTGTGCTATCTAAAGAGTGGAAGTATCACTTGCGAAGATAAAATGCAGTCATAATGTTTAAGATTAGGAGACATCATTGTAGTCACCTAATCACCTGATAGAGATTTTGATACAGTAGTTGCAGCCTCAAGCTTTTAATTTCTAAGTAAGCTACGCTTTTCATGAACACCCTGTTTTTCCAGGAAGACTCACAAAGATTAAACCACTACTAACCACATTTCTACTTGTATTTCACACCACCTTACTTTGGTGTGATACCATGGAGGGTCACAGGCTAAATCCAGCTTAGGAGACAAAACCACTGAAGCCATTACCTTACTATTTGAGGAAACAAGGAGTAGCCAGCATTCTGCAGGAGGATGCTTTAAACTGACACCATACAGGCAACCTCTCCTCTCTGTGCTCTGGTGGCTTTAAACATGGTCACAAGCACAAGGTCAAGAAATATAGCACAGACTAGTATGTTATCCAGCAACTTCTTCCCCCTTTTTCTTCTCTCTGGCTTAGCTGTTCTTTATCTTTACCAACACAGGTACTACAGCCTGCGAATCAGAGGAACGTTTATTTCACAAACTCTTCTCCCAGTACAACCAGTTCATTAGACCGGTGGAAAATGTGTCTGATCCTGTCACGGTGTATTTTGAACTGGCCATTACCCAGCTTACAAATGTGGTAAGACTCACTACACAATACTGCTGAGCTTTGGGGGTGGTTGTAAACACATGCAAATTGCTGAAGCAGGAGATGTAACGGTGATGGCTGCACAACTCTCCTTGCTTTCATTTCGTGTGTGTCCATGTGCATGTGCTGAAATCTTTGCTGTTCTTTCAGTCAGATGAATTCTTCCAGTTGCTTGAAGAAGTGGTTTGAATGACAGAGTAATTTCCTTACTCTGTAGCATCAAACCCCTCTGCTTCAGGTAGCAGCCTCCAGAGCCCAGGGCAGAAGCCCCAAATGTTCAAGCCCACTCCAGAGACACCTAGTGTGTCCACGTTGTGCGTAGCACATGACCAGTTCTCCTTTGGGGCTGCTGTCATTTCCCAGTAGTCCTGAGGGGAAAAATAGTCTCCTTTTTTTGCATTCTTTTTTTCAATCTATTTGTTTCAAAATGACGTAAGGAAAAAGTGTGTCAAGTGGAAGAGTGGTGTTTTAAAGCATGGAGGTGGGGATGAATGTTGCATGTTTTGTGATGCAAATGGATGTGGGGCAAACATGCTGGGCAGGAGAGAGGCCATGTGGAAGAAGCAAAGCATCACCTTTCTGATTCATGACTGCTTGGCAATTACAATAAATGACTGTAAAAAAAGGTCTCTGTAAGACAGTTACCTAATTTAGTGCTAGTCAAGTGCATCTTCTCTAGAGTTTTGCATAGAATTTCAAAATACTGTGATACAGGTGTCTTTTTGCTTGAATCTTGACCAATTCAGTACTGTGTAATCAGAGTTTTCTAAACACTGAATCCAACAAAATACACAGCCACAAGAAGAACCTTTTTCTTTTGGTACAGGTCAGAGCAATTCTAGGTTGTGTGCTCTCCAGATACTCCAATGCCTGGCAAAACAGTGCAGCTTTCTGTATGTCTGATATTTATGGAGCGTGATTTCTCAGTAAAGTTTTATTAATTTTTCAGTAGGGTTGCACACAACAATGTACAATGTGTAAACCTCTTGAAAGATGCTAGAAAAAATCTGCTATCAGTTAATGTGAAATTCTATTTTCCAGTTTTATGGGCTAAGTTTTTGGCCATCTCAGGATACTAAAACCATTTACGCCCATGCTTCTTTATAGGATGAAGTCAATCAAATTATGGAAACAAATTTGTGGCTAAGACACGTAAGTTACTGTCTTGCATTTCTCATGTATTTTGCATTGAAATGATCAAGTGTTTGTTACTTGTAAGTCACACCTATAAAATAAGTTTTTGGTTTGTAACAAGAATTTTAAAAAATTAATAAGGAGAAGGTCCACAATTGAAAAAGTAATTTCTTCATTCTTTTTACCTAGAAGTTATATCTTCTTTCTTTCCTGTGGGATATATTCTTCTCCAACTTCATGATGATTGGTTTTCTTCTGGAAAATTGAGCTGGAAGTACGCCTTAAAGAGTGATTAAATATGCCACTCTGCAATCCTAGGTCATCCCCACCAAAATATTTATTAGACAAAGGAATACGCCTCCATTGTTCCTGATAGTTTTGAGTATTTTTACATAAGTAAGGATTCTTAGGGGACCTAAACTGCTGAGAAAATATAGCTAACTTGCACCATTTTTTTCAGGCATTGATTGTAGTCCATGTAAAGTTTTCTGTAAAAGATACCATACTTACGATAGGTGAGAGACCGTGGAGCATGGCCCCATGATAGGGCAATAGACAGCAATGCAAGAGAGCTGCTGTGCATCCCTTGCTGCCCTGACCTGGTATGTCAGGGCTCCTGTGCAACCAATTCTGTCTTCTGGCAGCAGCTGCCTGTTTGTGTGCAGGTGGGCCAAACAGAGGGTGCTGTTCTCCTCTGGTGCTGTCCTCCTCCCACCTGTGGGATGCTGCAGCAAGGTCCCTATTTTCTCTTGGCAGTGGGGAGGTAACCTTTCACAGACAAGGCCCTCTACTGATGTCACACGACAGAGGAGAGATCTCAGCGTGCCAGCAGTTCATAGCAACTGGCACCCCATCCCATCACAGAGAAGACAGTAGCAATCAATGGGAGCAGTATTCACACATGTCCAGTGTTTCTCCAGGTCATGGCCTTCCTGTCTTTTGGACCATTGTCCCCCTTTCCAGATGCTACACTTTATTATAGCCTGTTTTACAGGAAGATCTGAGAAACAGATATATGTTGATAATTTAAAGTTTTATAATCCTTGTCCATCCTTCTTTCAGATTTGGAATGACTACAAACTGCGATGGGATCCCAGACAATATGATGGCATTGAATTTGTTCGGGTACCAGCAGATAAAATTTGGAAACCAGATATTGTCTTGTATAATAAGTATGATGATTCATTTTATCCATTTTACTGATTCATTTGAATCTTTCTCTCAAAAATATTCCCTTGCAGCACCTATAAAAACACCCATTACATTTTACTTTCATGGTAATTTTTTTGGTTTTGCCTCATTTGTCTTTCCAGTGCTGTGGGAGATTTTCAAGTTGAAAGCAAGACCAAAGCCCTCCTTCGCTATGATGGAATGATCACATGGACCCCACCAGCTATTTTTAAAAGCTCCTGTCCTATGGATATTACTTTTTTCCCATTTGACCACCAGAACTGTTCACTCAAATTTGGCTCATGGACCTATGACAAAGCCAAAATTGATCTTCTGATCATTGGATCCAAAGTAGATATGAATGACTTTTGGGAAAATAGTGAATGGGAAATAGTTGATGCTTCTGGCTACAAACATGATATCAAATATAACTGCTGTGAAGAGATCTACACAGACATAACATATTCTTTTTATATCCGAAGGTTGCCAATGTTCTACACCATAAATCTGATCATTCCCTGTCTTTTCATCTCATTCCTGACTGTGTTAGTTTTTTACCTGCCATCTGACTGTGGTGAGAAAGTTAATCTTTGCATCTCAGTGCTTCTTTCTTTGACTGTATTTTTACTGGTGATCACAGAAACAATCCCATCCACCTCTTTAGTAATTCCCCTAGTTGGTGAATATTTACTCTTCACAATGATATTTGTGACTCTGTCAATTGTCATCACAGTGTTTGTCCTCAATATACATTACAGGACTCCAATGACACACACAATGCCCAAATGGGTAAAAACTGTCTTTCTTAGCCTGCTCCCCAGAGTCCTGTTGATGCAGAGGCCACTAGAACAGCAGAAAAAAAACACCTCCAGGAAAAACAAGAAAGTATCAGACAGTAAGTTGGGCAAGTCAAAGCACAGCAAGCAGAAAGATACCAAACTGCACAAGGAGCAGCGGTGCAGTCACTGTGATCAGGCAACTGAGCTCCCCACCACCAAAAGACAGCTGAGCCATCAGTCACTGAGGTGGATGGCAGAGCACATGGAGTACTCCCCAGAGGTGAAGGATGTCATTAGCAACGTCCAGTTCATCGCAGAGAACATGAGATCTCAAAACGAAACCAAAGAGGTAAGGAAGGTAACCATCCCTTTAGGGCTTGTTTTGATTGTATTGAAATCAATGGTGATGACAGGGTGGAGTGCCTGTGTGTAAAGATCAGGGGCTAGGTCAGCAGGGCGCATGTCCTGGTAGGAATCTCTTACAGACCACCTAGGCAGGATGAACAGGCAGATGATGTATTCTACAGGAGACTGGAAGAAGTGTCATGATCACCAGCCCTTGTTTTCATGAGGGACTTGAGCTTGCCAGGAAGCTGCTGGAAGTGTAATGCAGCAGAGAAGAATCAATCTAGGAGGCTCCTGAATTTTGTGGAAGATAATTTCCTGGCACAGGAAGCAAGCCAACCAGGGAAGGTGCCCCACTGGACTCATCATTTGTGAACAGAGAAGGACTAGTGGGAGATGTGACAGTTGGAGGCCGTGGGCACAGCGACCACAGAATTGATAGAGTTTTCAATTTGGGGTTAAGTTATGAGGGGAGACAGCAGAACTAGACCTTCAGCAGTTAGAATTTGACCTGTTTAGGAAATTGATTGCCAGAGTCCCTTTGGAGTGAGTCCTGAAGGTCAAAGGGCTGGACGTGGTCTAAAAAGGAAATCCTAAAGGTACAGAAGCAGCAGAACAAGTTCCTGGGGAAGAAGACCATCTAAATGGGTTGTTTGTGTGAGGTCATAAATTTTTTTCTTATTTGGGATTACTATCATAGAAAATGGTGCACACTAGAATTTAAAGGATTCTGGGGCCATATCCTCCTGTGTAAACAAACTAAAAGAAGCTGCAAAAGGATTTTCTGACACCAAGAACACATAAGGAGCAGAAATTCTCTGACACTTCAAGATATTTTAAAAGTGTTTAGAACCTAATGAAACATATATCTTTGATCTGTCATGGAATTTTTGCTTTTGGTTTTGAAGTTTTTTAGATGCTCTATGATGGTAAAATCCATTTCAAAGCTACATACTGCTGTATTTATATTGAAAATCACAACAACTTTATAAGGAAAATGTTGATATGCATTATTTCTATCAGAATATTTTGTTGAAAATCATACAACTTCAGTGAAACCTAAAGATCGCTTTTATTCCCCCCTTTCTTTATGCCCTGCAGAAGTTTCATCTGAAAGCAAAACCTATAAATTTTTGAATAAAGGAGTAAACCTAAGCCAATGGCTGAATTCATAGAGTGAGAATGCAGCACATGCCAGCCTGAAGCAAAAGACAGGAATTTTCACCATAGAGGAGGATGGGGATTGAGCTGAGGCCTGCTTAGTCCAATAGCCTTAGTGCTTTGCTTAACCCACACGTTTCAGCCCTGCTTTCATTATCACACCAGCTGCATAAAACATATTCATGTACTGGTTCAGCTGCTTTCTCTGATGGTCTCCTAAAAAGAAGTTTTCCATGCAGTCGTCCAAATAACTTACTGTCTTGATGATACAGCTCAGAAGAAATCCTCCTTTACTAGTTTCACTGATTTCCATTTTGCAAATCTCTCCTACAACATAGAATTTTATTCTTAGTCCAGAGTGTTCATGAGCAGCTTTGTATCTTACCTTTCAGACCATACTAGAGATGGGAAGCATAATTTTTCATTTACAAAAAATCCCCTTTTCAGAGAAAAATCAGGATTTGTTCTCAGGCAAGTCCTGAGAAAAAGTGATTCTGGCGACTGCTTCTGCTTCAGCCAGATAGACAAAGCAATATGGGTGGTGTTATGTACTAGTCCTATATAAATAAAAGCCCTTCAAAAATTGCAGAAACATTTATAGTTGTGGGAGTTCTTCCTGAGTGTTCTTTCATGCAAAGGACACCTTCCATGTCTGCTTTTCAGAAGTCGTCCAAGGTTCTTCCCTGACTACCAGCCTGTTTCTATTAATGGTCATGTTACTATCATGGCCACCCTCTTTTTCATAATATCCCTATCTCTTAACACAACAAAATTACTATCACAGCTATCCTCTCAGTAGCTCTGGGAGCTTGGATAGAATTAAACTAAATACAAACCTGAAAAGTCTTACCTTATTTATCTCTTTCTCACCTGGGCTGAATTGCCATTATCAGAGTCTACAACTTCAAACTTACCCTACTTAAATTTTACTTATACTCCCCAATACCTGCTGCTGTATTGCTCACCCTCAACATGATAAAAATCCTAAAGCCAGTATTTTCTTGGAGGCAAATATAATTAAATTAGGAAAACAAGTGGAAGATCCCTCAGCAGAGAGCTCTTAACTAGTCACTACTTTAAATGCGTGAATGTTCTTCTGATGCAGTGTTTCTTGTGCAGTATAAGTTTAAAGGTACAGTTTAAAGGACAGCAACTCCATTGAATGTGATTCCAAGGTCTGTCTCTCAGCCATGCAAAATCCACTCTGTCCTGCTTAGCACATGACACTGCAGTTTGCTCAGCTGGAACCCTTACTTTGCCATAGTCCATGTATCCATGTGTCCAGTTTGCTGAAATTAGTAGGGCTTGATTGGCGAAACAGTGTTTCAAATCAGACCAGAAAGTGCGTCTTGTGTGGGCTGTCAGGAAAAATCCTTCAACAGGGTTTAGTGATGTGCAGCTATGATGGCTGTGCCTGCTGTTAAACCATCTCACTCTGCACCCACCACATGGTCAGGTCCTATTTGTTAATATCAGCATCACAACCATGGATGGGCTCCCCTCAGACTCGAATGTTTAGAACAATTCAGCAGATTAGAACAGTGTAGTATGTTCTCAAAAGTGGTAAAATACCATTAGAAAATCAGCCCCCTCTGAAGAGAAATGAAAACTGCAGCTACTATAAGCATGACAAGAAACATTCCTGACTTACATGTGTGCTCTTCCTTATATTAAAAAGCACAAAGGGCATTTCTACTGCATAATGTCAACTCACAATTGTATGTAACATTACATGTAGTTTATCATTCTTTTTTTTTATTCTCTTGCAGGTGGAAGATGATTGGAAATACATAGCTATGGTGATAGACAGAGTATTTCTCTGGGTATTTATAATCCTGTGTGTGTTTGGGACTGTGGGGCTCTTTATCCAGCCACTAATAGCAGAAACATAAATCCACTGCTTTTTATCCACTTTTGCTCTTGTTTCATTTCCGGTTCAGCAATTTACCTTCTCTTTCTCTCCTCTAACATAATGCCTCTGCTCACCACCTCGTCAGCACCCAGCCAGAGAGGCTCCCAGAACAATAAAGTATGTGTTTACATTCATGTTTGAAATCAGACAGATCTTAAGCATTTAATCATATTTGATGACAAATGGACTTAATGTTAGAATGTAGTTACCATGTGAGTCATACACATTTGAAAACTTTGTGCTTCTAAAATCTCTTAAAATTAGTTTGATCTGCCACTTACTTTTCCATGTGACCAAAGTCGCCTTTACTTCCTGATAGTGAGTACCAAGACCTTGATGAGCTTCAGTAGGATTTCCAAGCCACATATGTCATCAGATGAACAGCAGCCCTAGTCCACAGATTCTGCTCTGAAAACTCTTGCTTGCTCAGGCTCAGACATAAACCCAACAGGGAAGAATTTGTCCCTGCCTAGCTACTTGTCATAGACAGAATTGGTTTGACAGCACTGGATTGATCTGAGGTTTAGTGTTTTTAAAACCCATGACCAACCTAAATTATGCATATCCCAGCAGGAGAAGGATGGATACCGTGAATCCTTTGCAAAGCTGAGCACCCTGTTTCAAACAGATGTGCAGTGGTGTTCTGTTTTCTGACTGCTCATTGGTCTGTGCTGTGTGTGCAAACCTGAAATTTATGGCCATGTCCTGTGGGGCTGAGGTTGCTGCTCTGTAACCAGGTCTCAATCCTAGTGTGCTTCCTCTTGAAACACTTAGTAGATGTGTTCCTGATGTGGTTTCTATAAGATGTCGGTGGTTTACCCTTAAGTCCCTCATTTGTTTAGATTCCTGTAAATTTTGTGGTGAATGGTTCTTCTTTAAAAGGCACCACTATAATTAAACCAAATGGCTCCAAGAATACAAAGCCCTTCTCTGTTACAAGAGCCTCTAAATTTAACTGTACAGTGTCAGTGCAGTGCTTTCAGTGTCTGCCATGCATCGGTCTATGCTCTGAACATCACCAATCCTTGGAAAGTAAGACTCCCGGTTTCTGAAGTCACTGACTGGCCTTTTACTCTTTTGTGATGTTTCATAATAAAGAGAATAGGAATGAATTAGTGTATATATTAGTGATAAAGGCAGAATGACGAGAATATAACTGTCTTAATTCACCTAGTCATTATTGTAGAACAACAAGTAGAAGAAAACTATTATTTTCTGTAATCCTCTGAATGTTGTTCAATGATGTAGCAACTGACAGATGTATGAAAAAGCATGGTTTATTTTGTCAGTCTGTCAATTAAATGTCACTCCTGAGATACACCTTCTTGAAGAATTTGTGGTTTGGGGTTTTTTTTTAGATTTTCCTGTTGTAAATGTGTTTATAGATGCTACTTTAATCAGAAAGAAGGTGAGGGAAAATAAAGGAAATTTGAAGAGGAGAGCTGAATTCTGAACCTACAAACTTCATTTCTACAGAAAAGACATCTGACTGCTAGCATTTCCTGTTACACTCTATGACCATCCAAACCATGAAAATATTGTGGCTGAAGGTGCATTGCATTGGTCTCTTAAGCATGACAGCTACAACCTCACAGTGAATAATCTGACTTCAGCAAAATCCCTGATTTACAAAGTCCTCTTCTGTCTCTTCTTAGTGCACGATTTACCCTTCCTTTCTGCAACTCAATAACTTTTGGAGCAATCTTTTGCAATTCTCAGCTGTGTTTGACACATTCAATACTGGGAGCCCAATGTACTGCTGCAAGCTTTGTGAAAGTACTTGAGAGAGGAGATGGGGGATACAAGAGGCATATCAGCATGTCACCCTGAAGGAGGCTGCAGTAGGTGTGTCCCTGCAAGCAGACATGGAAGAGCCACACGAAAACGACAGTTTTGCTTGCCCAACTCTTGTTGAAGGTTGGGGACCTTCTAAATGAAATAACAAGAAAAGTTACAACTGGAGCTGGTGCCATCCCAGATGTTGACTTGGGTCACACATTGTGCACAGCCACAGAAAAGGTCTATTCTCACCCCATCAGCTCCAAAGTCAGCAACACCCTTTATTAATATGCCTCAGTGATGAGTACCACTGGCAGCAAGAATTCTCCTCTCCTTGGGAGTAATGGCATCTATGAATTAACTTTAAAAGCACAGAAGCAATTAAACAGCTCAACATCTCTTTACATTCTCTTCCCAAGGGAGACCATTCTTTCAGTTTACCTCCACTAAAAGGCCCAGAGGAGTTTTTCATATTTATCTTTTGATGAGTGGGTCATATATGTGAGTGCTAAAAGCAGTGCCAATGTCTCAGCAAACCAGTTCCCAGAAACTGAGAGAGCACAGGCTGAGATAGTATTAAGGCAGAAGGTTATTGGTTTTTTGTTAAGACTTGTGATTTGCAATATTGTCATCCACAGGCCAAGTAAGTAGAGCAGAGGGAAGGCCCCACTGCAGGACTGTCTGCCCAAATGTGCTCCCTAGTTGTGTTTTTAGTGGCAGACCTTTGTGGGGAACATGGTGAATGCTTTTGTGAGCCAGCAGCAAACAGATTTAGAGAAGCTCAGGATCAGGGAGCAGAAGGAAATGAGTAGTGAAACTACAGATGTAGCAGTACCAGATGCAATGCTAGGAAGACTCAAGGCCAGAAGCCATACCTTTGCAATTTTCATACGTCTCCAACACGAGCTCTGCTGATCTTCACCAGCATAAGCCAGGAAAAGCAGCTTGGCATCAGACACAGACGTGTGAGACAGAGCCATGTGGTGCCTGCGGGTGGGCAACCAAAGCGTTGCATGGTGGAGACAGGACCATCTGTCAGATGGACACCTGAGGCAGATTCCCAGGAGAGGAGGTTGTCATCTGTCATGGCTAACAGGCAGCCTCCTGGAGGCAGTGCTCATAGGGAATACCTATCAGTAGTGGACCACAAAAGTCTGGAAACACTGGAAAGAAGAGCTTCCTGGCTCTCTTCTGACAGATATTTCACAGTACTGTCTAGGAGAACAAATGCAGTTTATTCAAGAAGAAAGGAGCAACTGATAGAATGGCCAATGTATATGAATTTTATGATTTAATGGTCAAGTTTTATGGCAGTATCTTATGCTAAGAGATCTCTCTCTATATGCCAAACTAAATGAGTTTATTCCAGAAATATAATAACCACATCTGAATGCTTCTTGCTCAAACTCACAGAGAGAGCTAAAAAGTAATAAGGACTTTCCAAGAACCTGAAAACCCCTCTGTTTGAATACATTTGGGACAAAACTTTTTAAATGGGCTACAGTCCATTGTTGACAACAAACCAACAGCAAACCCCAGTGTATGGACATCCCAGGAATCATTTACTAAATACATCTTTATTAATAATAATTGCACAATTGAACAGAAGTTTCTGCATTGACACAACATGATGGGATTACATTAACTCATGGAGGTCTGCTGTGCATGCACAATCCAAGCACAAGAACACCTCTATGTATTTTAACAGTTTCTAACCTCCATCTCTAGAGAGACAGTTTCAAGGCTAGCTAAAACTTAAACACATATTTAGACTGTCAAAAATTGGATCTCCAAATCCTTTGCTAACCCTGAAAATATTTGCAAGTTCTGAATGGGATTTTCTAAAGCACCCCGTGTTGGAAAACACTGCCCCAGCAAAAGTAGTGACAGTGTCATTCCTGTGTTGAAGAGTTTCACCTGGGTGTTTTCTGTCACATCTCACTTATTTAACACTTTTAAGAGCTGTTTCTAATCATGCAAAAGGATCTCATAATAAATTAATTAAAGGAATGAAATTCTGAATTACCTAGGAAACATGGACAAGCCAACAGCTAAAAATATATCTTCCTGGTGACCAGTCCACCCCATAGCTCTCAAGAGAAATCCCACTCCTGCAAATACCAAAACTTTCATCTGCCAAAACAGATGTCTGCAGCTTCCCTCCAGCTGAACATTTCAGGAGTATCACTGTCGCCTTATGGAATAGCACAGCCACCTTCACTTAGGTGATCTCCCACTTGTGAACAAGCAGGTGAAGGAATAATAGTTAAATGTGGAGCATGGGGAAAAATCCTCACTTGGTCAGCCTTCTGGTACGCTACAGAGCAGCAAACAAAATTGCAAATAATACTGCAAAGTGGGCAATACCTTGTAGCTTCCTGATGGCTGAGGTGAGAGACAAAGCGTGCATCCATAAAGGCTGGTAGCAGGTGGGCAGAGATAGGTTCCGCCGCTGTGGAGCTGATCCTACAGCAAGGTGAGGCTAAACAGTCAAGGTTTTCAGCATCCCATCTAAGAAGAATTTATATTTTTTTCTGATGCACATGCTATGCAATTGCCAGTTCTGACACATGCATAAAGCAGACTGTAGACACTTACACTGCTTTTTAATTGGAAACACAGATAAACTGAGTAGAGATTTGTGTTCCTACTGTAACTTCTTTTACAAAGTAGCATTTTAACTGGCAGATCTGCCTTTTAAATATCATTATTCTGCAACACCTTCTATTTCCAATTTTAACTAATAATCTTGTCTTTTATAGTAATACAAACAAGCTAACAATATAATAATGATAACTCAATTGTGCAACCCCAGTTCACTTTAGGCCTTGGCTGTGCACCAAGCTCTTCTCTGATTTCAACAAAATCTATAACTGATAGAGTTATTATTAAGATGGAAAGCACTAATAAATGCCCACTGTCATCATCATTTTCCCTCATTCTTGCTGCTGCTTCCCGTCTTGTACAGCAGAGACCAAGCTACAAGGCACCACTGTCCCTTGACACCATACTTGTATGTTACTGAGTGTTTTCTACAAAGCGTTGTTCAACCACATCCGTAATGCAGGGGTAAAGATGAGAACTGAACCTGTCACTGACACCACCAGAAATAACCACAGGAAGATCCGATCCAGGACTTGAGCTACAAACTTCCAGTCTTGTACAACCTGCGAAGGATAGAGGGAGGATAAACAAATAGTAAAAAGCTTGGTACTGTGTTGACACTGCTACATACATTTCAGCACCCCAAATCTGGTTTTAAAATTAGATGTTTGTAGTATGTGGTAGCCTAAAACTAAAAGAGATCCCCTTTTCAGCACTCATAGCTGCAAATCACTCAAATCCCCAAAGCAATTCCATAGTTCTATGCACATGGTGATGAGGCTTCCTCAGCCTGCACAAAAGGTTTTAGTTAAGTGCATATATGAAAATTTACAGACTTAGCTTTGAGGATGGCTTTCCAACAAACTGGACTTCATTTTACAGACCTGCATCTCCCTGTAAATGTGAGGATGAGGCTCTGTCACAGCACTTGGACACAGGCATTGATTCCAGTACAAGCAGTTCCATTTATTTGTGTTTGCTTAAGTGATTTGTTGACTCAGATTGGGTACACTCAGGAGGGGAATTTTGAATGGTGAGTGCTGGCACAACTATGCATACAGAAAAGTGCTATTTATGAAGGTAATCCAAGGGACCTTTTTATTAAAATTATTTCCGTTTCAAACAAGTAATAGTCATGGACAGTATGTGCTCACATACTACATGTTTGATTTACTGCTCTCCTTTTTACTGCAGTTCTCTCAGCACAGTTTAAACAAAGCCCTAGCTCTTGTTAGGAGGATGCTAACAGAAGTCTTTCCAAATGCTGCCAGCTGCATTGCTCTACTGTCCTACCCTTGGATGAGATTCATTGTTTGCAAACACAGTAATTTGCTATTTTAAAAGCCAGGAGGCTCATTGAGAGGAGAAGGACAGCAGTAGGGAGCTAATCTAAACATGTGTTACTGGAACTCTAGAAGACTTTCACTTAAAACAGAGCAACTATGCAGTGCACAGTATGTGCTGGGAGGCCAGGACTGACACCTGGCAAATGCCATGAGCTTGCCTGTAAGTGTAAAAGTTACATTTTTGAGCATATGAGTTTAGAGGCTTCCAGATTTGTGTGTATCCCAAACTTACACAGGACAAGGTTATTCAAATAAACCCAAACCAGGAATTCCTCCAGGAGAGGCTACTAGTCTCTTGCACCTGTAAAGAGCAGGGACTCTCACAGAACAATATGCTTCTCCTTGAAACTATGTGTTGTCTCAAAAACATATTATTTATCAAAGTCTGAGGAAGAATATGTGTCAGAGGAGAGCAGGAGGAAGAGGCAAAGGGAAAAGCACGCAGAAAAGGAAAGAGCTTGGAAGCCATTGCTGTCAAGGAAAGTGTGATTCCCTCCTTGCCCTCCCTTCACCTACCTGTCTGATGAAATGCTCCTTTTTAACGTGCCTGGAAATGTACCGAATGGAGTCAGCTGCCTTTTCCAGAAAGGCAATAACAATTTTTTCTCCGTCTTTTGCTTGCTTGTATTTCTGCTTCCCCAGAAACTTTGATTTTGAGGTGGTTCCCTTTTCTTCAGTCTCTGAGAACGAGTAGCGATCTACGTGGGCCTTCATGCAGAGCAGACGAGGCAACTTCTGGAGAAAGAGCCTTTTAACCCAGGGTGCCATGGGATGGTAAGTTGCTGAGGATCGGTGGTGGACATTGATAACAAACACAGTCACGATGATAGAGAGGGTCACAAAAATCATGATGAAGAGCAGATACTCACCGATCAGTGGGATGACTTTGGAAGAAGAAGGGATTATTTCCTCAATCACTAAAAGGAAAACAGTGAGGGAGACTAGAACTGACGTTGACAATGAAAGCTTTTCACCTTCATCTGAAGGCAGGTAAAACACCAGGACAGTTAGAAAAGACAATCCCAGGCAAGGGATTATTAAGAAAAGAGTGTAAAACAATGGAAGGCGCCTCAATACAAAGGAGTAAGTAACAAATGGGTAAGAGTACAGCCCATCCTTCCTGTTGCCTTTCATACCTTTGGCGTTTAAGATCTCCCACTCCCCATTATCAAAGAAGTCTTTCCTGTCTACATTTTCATCCACTAAAATCAAGTCCACCATATTGCCATCATATGTCCACGACCCAAACTTCATGGAGCAGTTCTGCCTGTCGAAGGGGAAGAAGGTCACATCCATTGTGCAGGAGCTCTTATAACTGGCCGGTGGTGTCCAGGTCACCACTCCATTGTACTTCACTATGGCTTTGGTCATCAGGGATCCCTCAAAACGTCCATCAGCACTGGGAGTTGGACAGGAAGAAACAGTACCAAGTTCAGGACTATGTTTGCCCCAGTCGTACCCCATTTGAGCTCTGCTTTCTATCCCTCACCTGGAGCACAAGGTGCACAACATTCACATGGCCTAAAGAAGCAGCCTTCTGACAGCACACACACACCTCACAGTAGCTGACATGCCTTGCCCAAGCTCTGGCCCAAGCCCAGAGCAAGGAGCCACGCTACTCACTTTTCAAACAAAACGATGTCGGGAAGCCACAGAGACTCAGAGGGGACCCGGATAGCAGTGATCCCACCGTATTCATCTGGATTCCAGGACAGCTTGTGGTCAATCCATTCCTATAACAAAACAGTGGAGTTCTGTGTCCACTCATAAGCATCAGCCTCCTTCCTCACCCTTACATGTGCCTCAACAGCTGCATGCACAGCACAGCAGGCAGAACCTGCTATGAGGCTGCTCACCTGCAGAGAGGGTGCCCGACAGGCATGGCTGGGAGGTATTGATCCCCACAAGCACTGCTCCTCCAGACACAGGTGAGACCCAAGAACCCATCCCTAGGCTCGTAACCTCAAAGCCAGCACTTCTGGAGAGAACTTGACTCTCATTTTACTCACCACCCTGCACAGCCCACCTGGGAGTAGTCTAAAATGAAGGAGCCACTTCCCTTTAGTGCAGCAGCTTTCCTTCCCTCTGAGAACCAGCCCAAGCAGGTTTTGGCTGGCACAGACCCTATGGAAGACTCCATGGACCCTAGATGGTGTGGATGCTAGCACACAAATGAGTAGAGGTGGCCTTGATTCACTTCTCAGTGGAGACTTGGCTTTTTTAAGTAATTGGAATACAACACAATATCTGTACACCATCCTGGCAAAAAAAAAAAAAAAAGAAGAAGAAATAAAATTGGTCTTTCATCAGAAAGACCTGCAGACTACTGCAGGAAAAATAACAAGATGTCATTGTAACTATTTGGCTACAAAAGCAGGGAGAGTCCTCTCCATTTTCATCATGTTGAACTCTAGATTAATTTTTCTCTCCTTTACTGGATTTTCAGATAGGGAGGTCATAACAAAGTGGCTCCAACAACCTGGAGATTTCCACAGAAAGGCAATGGAAAATCAGCTCTCTGATCCTTGTTCATTATTGATGAGTATATTAATTTGTCCACAGAAATAGCAGCAATGTCATGCAAGAGCTGTAGACTGTGGTCAATACCAAGAAGTGGAAGATGAACCAGTTTCCATTAGCTGCAGCACAAAGAGATCTCCAGGGATGCAGAGGTCTCAGCCTTCACTGGGTAATTTCCTCCACGACTTAGGGATGAACCAAAAAAGCAATATTGTCTATTAATTCTCCATATAGTTCCCTTCTTATTTCTTTGACGCCACATGCTTTTTGAAGCTATACTAGAGACATTTGTTATTGTTCAGGTACGGAAAGAGAAGAGGGGCCATTGCTGCTCGTAGCTTCAGAATCAGGGACAGAGTACACCACTTTTAGCATTATCTTTTCTCTGAGGATGGGTGTCTAACAATGTCTCCAGAAGCCTAGGCTGTTACGTGATCACAGTCTCACCTATGTTCTGGACACAACGGGACTTAGGCTGGAAACATACATCATGCAAGGGGACAGTCAAGGCTGAGCAACAGCCAACACAGTCATCTTGTAGCCTCCTAACACAAGAGCAGCAAATACCCTGTGAGCCACCTGGAGATAGAATCATCCCTCTGGAGTTGAACTGGAGCAGCCCCTTGGCCTGGGTGATTTGCTCCATCTGCAGTACTCCTCACTTTCCCCCTGCTCTGCATTGATTTCTCTCACAGCTAAAGTGCTCTTTCATGTCTCCAAGGAAAACGGTTGTTTCTTCTTACCAGAGCAGAAAATCGGCTGTGTGCAGACTTGGAAGATGAGCAGTTTAAAACAGGAATCTCCCTGCTGACACAAACCATAGCAGCAGATGCATAAGGCTCTTTCCCTCTCTTCTCCATTTTTTCCAAGCTGCTCCAGACATTGCAATTGCTCTCCCCTTCCTCCAGCTTTACCAAATTTCCATTTCTGTGCTGTCATTGAAGAGTATAACCCATCACTAGTGGAACAAAAAACACTAGACTCAGATTCTTGGCCCTTGCTAGTAGACTGCGTAGCTTGCCTGAATCCAGACACTTTCTCAGCAACCACTAAAGGCTCCTCTGAACCTTGTGTGTCAGCCTGCTTGTGTATCAAGTCCCACCATCTTGAGCACCAGGATGTCTGGGGTTAACAAAAAAAAAAAGGAAAAGAAAATGCTTGTGTTTAAGGTTTGCTTATCCAAGAAAAGTAAGACTCTTGCTGAGAAATTATGAAGGTGATCAGGAGCAATCAGCATGGATTCACTAAAAGTAAATAATGCTTGACCAACCTCCTTGCCTTCTATGCTGAAACAACTCCCTGGATGGACAAGGAGAGAGCACTGGATATTGTCTACCTTGATTACAGCAAGGCTTTCAACACTGTCTCTCTCTCAATATCCTTATAGGCAAACTCAGGATGTTTGAACTGGATGAGTGAATAGTGAGGTGGATTGAGACCTGGCAGAATGGCAGATCCCAAAGAGCTTGTAAACAGTGCCACAGGGTCTGGTTGGAAGCCTGTCACTGGTGGTGTCCCCCAAGGTTCCATACCGGAACCTGGGGAGGAACAACCCCAGGCACCAGCAGTTGGGGGTGACCTGCTGGGAAGAAGCTCTGTGGAGAAAGATCTGGGGATCCTGGTGGACAGCAAGCTGTCCATGAGCCAGCAGTGTGTCCTGGGGGCGAAGAAGGCCAATGGGATCCTGGGGTGCATTAGGATGAGCATTGCCAAGAGTTCAGGGGAGGTGATCCTGCCCCTCAGCACATGTAGAAGCACATCTGGAGTTCTACTCAGGACATCTGGTGAGGCACATCTGGAGTTCTGTGTCCAGTTCTGGGCTCCTCAGAATGAAGAAAACATGGATAAAGCAAGTCCACCAAGAGAGCAACAAAGATGATGAGGGGAGTGGATCATCCCTTTTACAAGGAAAAACTGAGGGAGCTGGGCCTACATGAACACACAACTTCCACAGCAAGACACCTGGGTCAGGCACAGGTACTTAGTGCTCAGCCTGAGCTCCTGAGGGCACTTACACTGTATGAAAACTAGAGCCTGTGCCTCATTTTCCACTCCCTTTGCATTACCTCGGGTCTTAACGTTTTCAGCTCATTAGATGGAGAAGTGGTATTAGAAATAGTAACAACTCCAGAGAGCCCAGCTCTGGGAAATCACAGTCCTGAGTTTCCCTGAGGAGCTGCCCTGGCTAAAATCTGAGCATTCTAAAGGCTTCCAGAGAAATCAGTGTGTCTACAGTGCACAGGGCTTGGACCTGCAGGTGAAGGTGGGTGCTACAGCCTGCAAGGAGAATGGGCTGGAAAGAGGAGAGGACAGATGAGGGCAGATGAGGGCCCTTTACAGAAGTATTCTGCTGTCTGCCCAAGTGGATACTCAAAATAAGGGAGCCAAAATGTGGCCTTGTGCACAAGAGGGGCTCTACAATTGCTGCTAAAGGTGAGGAAACTGTAATACTGCAGATAATTCAGGGCAGGTTCCCAGCAGTTGTATTTGGATCAGAGAGAAATTTCTCCAGCAAAAGGGAAAAATTCTGTCTTCCCCACAGTGAGGGGAAGTCTGAGATTTTCCCTCTGCAAGGGAGAGATCATCTTTACATGCAGTATTCATATTGGTTTTAGGGGTCTTGCTCCAGCCAGAATCTCACACTCACTGTAGCAGTACAGTACCCAGACAAAAACTGAGACATATTTCTCATCCACCAGCCCAGCAACCCCCAAGAACCTTTCCTCATGGCATGATTTCAAGTACGGCTTGTTTTTTATGCCCTCTGCCCAGGATCAGCTTTACAGATACTCACAAGGCTGAGAGACTTAAAATAACTGTCACAAGGTCAATAAACTGGTGCAATGTAACTTAAACTAAAAACAGTGTTCTTCAGGAGTGAAGAAGAAAGGAGACCTAACAGTTCAATTTGTGCCTTTCCCTCATTTGTATAAATCACTGTCAGTTCCGAAAGCAATTATGATAGAGAGATCTGATTAATTTGCTACAGCTTTTAATGGGAAAAGGTCTGTGGTGTGTGTGTGTGTGTGTAACATACTGGCCTCTTTTTGTCTTTACATATGCTGAGGAATGAAGAAAAATATCCGAGGCACCACTCTTGGCTCAGGCAAGAGAGACAGTACTTGTGTGACCTCTAAGTATGAGACAGGATAGTCCCTCAGGGCACGTATAACATCCTAGGGATAGCCACTGCAGTACCAGCTGTGTCGCTTCCCTGAAATAAATACTGGCTTGAGCACACAGCTGGGGTGCAGGTCAGAAGAAGAGGGTACCCTATGTCCTAAAGGCCTACTTGCCTGCCTTTCTGTCTCTATACGTAGGCTGAAGTGAGAAGAGTGAAGTAAAAACTTGAAGTGTCTTGGTGCTGGCCACTCAGCATCATGAAATGAGATACATGGCACAGTGGGCAGCAAACTGAGATGGCTACTCAGTGCAGCAGCTCCCATGGGGAAAAGGGAGGTCTGAGGTGGTCTAATTTACCTGTTTCAGCCACACGTTGGTTGTCATCAGCTGATTCTTCTCATCCTAGAGTGACACAAGGGAGAGAGGATTGCAATACCAAACCAGCCATTAGAAACAGACCCTGTGCCTGCTGAGTCCAACCCCGTGCCAAGATGAGGAGATCCCTATGGTCCTTTTTCCATGGGCTTGGGTTCTTCAGTCACCATTGAGGGAAACTGACTGAATTCTAGGTGCTGTCTCTGCTATCACTGGGAGCCTCTGAGGCTGGAAAACTGAGGTTCAGCATTTCACAGGAGCTCAAAGGAATCATATGCCAAAGACCCAGGATGCAGCCAGGGCTCAGCCAGCAAGTGGTATCAGGTTGTAGGCTCATAGGATGGCTCAGCTCCCCACACTGGTCAGCCTGAGTGAGTTTGGGAAGATACAAGCTGAAACACTGTCGTAATTATGTAAATAAAGCACAAAATTAGTGTGCCTTCCACAGCACAGGGGAACATTACCAGGGGCTGGGGGATATAAGGAGCACATTGTTATGTGGGTACCTCTGGGCATTGTGAAAATTCCATCATGCATTGCAGCAGAAAGAGAAGGGAAAATTTCCACAAGGGCAGAAACAGAGGATTAGCTATGTTGCCTCTAGAGTTTCATCTTAGTGACCAGCTGGGTTAAGACTTGAACTATCTTTGGCATCAATGCAAGCTTGCTTGGAATGAATAATGTCCAACCATCTCTTACTCTTCCTCAGTCCCATTCTGTAGCTGTCTTGTCATTAAATTGCAACATAGATGTCAAGGACTGTCTGGCATGTGTTGTTTGATCAAAACCTTATGGAAATTAGGCCATATTCCCTGAGAACAATAGGGAAAAAAGGACCTTCAGGTTTCCCTCAAAACAAATGAGTCCTACAGTCCATGCTGGGAATGGAGGGGAGTCGGGGAGGAAAGAAGGTTGTATCACCAGCAGCATTTCATGCTTAGTGTTTTTCTGCCCAACCATCACTGTGCATTTCTTGTGTCAGGAGGTAAAAGCTAATTACATTACCAGTCCTCCCAGGTGGAGGCACAACTATCTGTAAAAGTGGTGCTTTACTAACACAACACTTACCACATCCACAAGCTGTGATATCTTCAACCCAAAAAGGACTTTGATGGTGTCGTTGGAGTTTTCCACAGGGCGGACCCATTTCTGATAGCCTTCAAATAAGTGCTTGAGGAGCGCATCCTCATTTTCAGCAACTGAACTGAAGGCATTCACATCTGAAAGAGAGCAACACAGAGTGGAGGCATTGCCAGAAAGCGGACATGAAGAACACCATGACCTGAAAAAGTGAGACAGAGCAATGATGTGAGGAAAATTCACCTCCAGGCAGATCCTGTCTTGAACAGCGAATTCTGCAGGAATTCAGATGCACAGACTCTCAGCAGAACCAGGGCAAGTGAATGGAAAATAGCCCAAGCCCAACTCACATTAAAAAAAAAATAAATCATCAGACCAGAGCAGTGATGACTTTGTACCAGGTTTATATTCTCTATGGACTATTTGCCAAAGCAAAAAGAGCCCACTGGGCAGCAACAGGAGCTGGATGTGCGGTCAGAGCTAGATCTGCCAGGCAAGCACAGAGACGTCATGGCCTGTACCTGCATGACTTGTGACTCCCACAATCACTGACACCATGCTGCCCCTTCCCCTTGCTACCATGAAGGGGGATGGGCAGTTCAGACCCTCCATCCTTTCCCAAACATGAGCCCCATTCCCCGTGGTGTTGAGGTTCTGACATGACCTCCATCTCTTCCCTTGTGCACAGCAACCAAGGGTGAGAAGGATTTTATCTCTCTTCAAAGCCACCATGGAGGAAAAAAGACTGGTCCCACACAACAGGGATCACAGTCAATATTGCTGTGTCAGCAGTCAAAAGGGACCTCACAGGACACTGTCCAGGGCCCAGCTTATGCCTTGCCAGCCCCAGGGTGAGCAGAACATCTGTGCCTGGACTGCCAAACATTAGGTGCAGGAGGGGTCTGCAGGCGCAGGGATGGTGCCAGGACCTGACAGTGGGAGAGCCCTGGAGGGCACTGTCAATATGCTCACACACCGTGTGCATCAACAATCAGAGTTAAGGCAGCCCCCAGCAGGGTCCCGGTGCCATATGGAAAGAAAGGGCATGCAAACAGCAGTTTTTGAAAACTGGAGGCAGAGGGTCATGCTCTGACTCTACATGGAGGAAAGAGTGTGACCATGGACCACTATCTCTGCCCATGTCCCCTTCCCCAGCAGCTGCTGCCCATCTCCTGAGCATAACAGGCTGTGCAGCCTCCTCCACCTCAGTCAGGGTCTGTCAGAGGCTGCAGACAGGGACAGACCTCGCAGCAAGCAACACAGCTGAAGAACTGCCCAAAGCAAAAACCGGATCTCATAACAGAGCTTTCCATGGGACAAAATTCAATCTTTAATGCTCTCTGGGTCCTCTCAGGATAGCACAAGGTCCAAGCAACACTGTCATCCCCCACTTCCAGCCACAGCAAGATACCATTCCTCTTTGAGGAGCTATAAACTCTGAAACCTAGTGCTTGCACTCACAGGATAACAACTTTACTGTCAGATGTTCTAGCACAAGCTGTGTTTGTCCTCTGTATCTGCAATACAAGGTGTGGTGGGGTTACCAAGCCCTGGGCAGGTAGAGGCTGGCTGATCAGAGGGACCTTTCACATTCATTTCTACCTGCTCCATCCCAGAGCCAGGAATGGCTCAAGCTGTCAGCACAGTTTATAGCAGTCCTCTATAGGGCCACACTCTGTCTTGTCACTTACAAGCCTTTGAGGTCTGCTATTTCCACGAATGCCCCTTCTGCTTGTACCAGGGTTTACTCTCATGCCAGACCCTAGCTCCACCACAGCAGTGTCTGTGATCTGTCCTAGGAAACTAGACTGGTTGCCCAAACATGGCAGACGGGTATTGCATCTGCAACCAAAGGAAGACAAGAACACATTTCTACCCCCTCACTACCCACAGCCTCACAGGTCCAATCCCTTGACTATGAGAGACTTTGCAGAGACTCCATCTCCTAGACATTTCACTCTCCCTTTAGGAGATTCATGTATGGTTGTTAAAAACAAGAAATTTAACAGAAAAGCCATTGCATAGAAAAATCCATAACCCCAAAATATGCATGATCAAATCCAGCTCCGTCTTACTGCCAGAATACTCTGAAATTTATTTGAGCAATTTTATTATTGCTCTAACATTTCTTTGAGTGTAACATCCTGCACACATATATGCAGCCACACACCCTCTGTGTCCGTGGGTGTGTATGACCTCCCTCAAAAGAAAATGGTGCCATTTCACATCTCACATAAAGTTCAGGTACCTAATGCTGCAAGTGGGTATAGAAGACAGGTGGTAAAGCTGGGTTTGGGGCTGGATATGTTGAATCTCATCTGCTGAGGAAGCCACTAAAAAGTAAAAAAGACTTGAGGAGTCTCACAAGGAAGAAAGTCAGAAGGAAGAAGATGCTGCCTCTGTAAGACAGCCTCAGTACTTGCACAAAGACAGTTTAAAAGCAGAAGTTATTAATGAGAAATAAGAAATATCATGTGGGAAAATAGCCTAACAGTTCCTTTGACCAAGCCCCACTTTATTATTAAGCTAGATAAAGCCATGGAGAAAATATTGAACAAAATAGCACTGCCTTTGAAAAAAAAAGGAGAAGCAGCCATAGGACAGATACATCCCTGAATCTACCATATGATGCACTGAGAGGCAAAAACTGGGGAGCTCCCTGGCAGGTTAACATGCATTTGAGTACTCAAGCACTGTCTGCCATCTCCTCCACTCCTCCAGGTTCCTGTCTCACTCTGTGGTCTGTCCAAGTAGCAGTTCCCTATGGGTGCAGGACAGGAGTTCTGGGGCAGAAAGACTGCTAAACAAATGTGCAAAACACCCCAATAAGTACAGACGAGACACTTAGCCTTTTATCAGTTTGCCTGAAGCACTTCAGTTTTTCTCTTGGTGACAGAAATTCTCCCTTAATTCCCTTTAGCAGCCAAAATTCGAGCTTAGGGTTTTTTGTTAATTACTAGGCAGCAATTGCCCCACCTCCAGTTATTAAAACCTAGATGTCAAACTGACCGTGGTTGCAATACAAAGGCAGCAACTGATACAACCCTTTTCTGCTACTCACACAGTGTTCAGAGGATGACCAAGAGAAGTCAGCGTTCACCATATACAAAAAAGCAGCAGCTAACCAGCCAACAGAAAAAAAACTTGAACACCTGCAGCTCAGCTTGGAAGAAGAAGAAATCACACCTACCTGAGTGGCTCAGACACAGCGCAATGAGCACTAGGCAAAGCATGGGCACCACCGTGACTTTTCCTTTAAATCTGATCTTCTGTCTTCATTAGCAAATCAGTCTCATCTTTGCAGCGGACTAAAACAATCTAGTTAAAAATCGAAGCAGACAGTTGAGTCTGCAAGGCAAGGCAGCACCTTTCTAGCCTTATCTTGCCCTCATTATGACGCTTGGTAAATCACACTTCATTGATTTTCAGTCAGCCGTCACATCCTATAAGCCTTAAACAGGGCTCTGGGTCCTAAACTCTGATCTCTTTGTGGCAGTATTAACATGGCTATAAGCACTGCGGTCTAGGAGTACACAAGAAGAAAGTCTTTTAAGGAGGAAAAATATCTTTTACGCTACTGCTGATTACAGCTGAAAAAAAAAAAAACAGGCTGCAGTTCAGAACCAAAGATAAATCAGATGCCTTAAAGATTATCTGTTTGTTCCAGCTATGTCAGTTGCAGAGGCAGACTCCCCACAGACTTAATTTAGCTTATTCCATGCTACAGTTGCTGTTCTGAAGCTATAAAATGGATTTGGGGGGCAAAAAAAACCAAGTAACAAGTAAGTGAGAAAACTACGCTGATTTCTAAATTTATATCTCATACACAAAACATCACAGGCAGCAGCACGCAAGTCCTTGCACAGCTTAACAGAGAATGTTGCCCCAGGGTCTTGTTAGCAATGGGAGTGAGGATTATTTAGCCAGCTTCTCTGTAGTCAGACCTCTGTCAGTCCTCCCCAGTGACACCTCACACAAGGATCCTTTCAGAAATCACCAGAAATTGGTGGTAATCACCAGAAATTGCTGATAATCAAAAGGGATGCATGTTCCTCTTTTCCCATCCCCCTGACACTCCTCTGCTGAAGGATTGTCAGGATCTTCTCTGTTTCTTCTCAAATGAGAGTTACTTTGGCATATCGCTCGAAAGAGGAGGTTTTCTCCTGAACTTCTCGGGTTTAAGGAAGAGGTATGCAAAATTCTAATAGCTTGCCCCCAAACCCAAAAACTCCTCCTGCTTTGATTATTTCTTTCTGGCTATTAAATTGCTTGCTGACTTTTATATGGGAAGCCTGGGGTTTTTTTCAGCAACGCTGGGTACGCTTCTTGCAGTTACCCAGATTTTGGTACAGTCACAGGTTTTGTGATTCAGATTTGCCTTATCTAAGGTCCTCACAGAGGATTGATAACTGGCAGCTGTAATTTTACCAGATTATTCATCTTGCTGTAAGGAAAAAGCTGCTATATAAGTGTGGTTCAAAGTCACATTGCTGCTGCAAGTGACATTCTTGTAGTGTCCTATCAATTTATTCATGCTTCTGTGGCCTTGCAGCCTACTGCATCCCCAGCTCTCAGGCAGGCCACCAGCAGCAACTCAGAGAGTTTGCTTTTTCCACTACTGTTCTACACACAAGAAATCTGCATGGGTTCTTCCTAACTCCTCAGCTCTTCCTGAAATATGAGATATGAAGTATGGTTGTGCTACCATTGCCCCTACCCACTGCCTTAGACTGTGACAAGAAGTAAGGACCAGGCTTGCCTGATCAATGGCTTCCAGAGTTACCAGACAGCCAGAGGAGAGTATTAGAGACAGAAATTCTGTTTGCCTGTTGTTTTCTGTTCACAAGTCTTTATGTATCTGTGCACCCCAACATTTTGGAAAGGAAGGTATGCATGAATACTCCATTTGGCCAGACAGGCCATGCAGCATAAGGTGCATCCACCCTGAGATAGCAAATTAATTCTTGGTCAGAACTCTGCTTGTGGCAGTACCTGAGTAGCTATTCTCTGTTGAAAAAATGTATTTGCTTTTCCACAGTTCTCATGGGATTTGTAACTAATATGAGTCTGCAATTCCAGGCTGCAAAGAGCCAGGTACTGCCTAGACACAAGCAACACTGGAGCTGGGCCTCACCCTCTAGGCAGCAAAAATGCCAAGAAAAAGAAAAGGAGAAATCTACCTAGAGGCACAAATCCATCCTTTTGAGCACACATGGTTAATAGCAGCAGCAACTGAAAAGTCAAGGTTATGATGGACAGTCCTAAGGCATGTTACCTGAATGCACCATGCAGTCAAGCATGGAAAAACACAGATTCCAAGGGAAGGTGACAGTGCTGGCTGGCAGTCAGAGGGTGGGAAACCTGGACTAAAGTGAGAAGGATGGTGAAGAAGAAGGACATAGATGGGAGGTGCTCTGAACCAGAACTGTGAGGTTTTGTTTCAAAAACCCAGAGCCAAAGTAGAGTTTGCTGCACCCCCAGGTATGTCAGCTCCAGGAAGGAGAAAAGAGAGATAAGGCAACACTATGGAACATGAGACACTTTTCAGGTAGACATGTCTTCTCCTTCC